ATTTAAGATAATATTTTTAGATTGCATGGGCAGGATAATGATTAATAAATTTTGTGGCTTTGGCAAAAGATATAAAACAACATGTGGACATTTTACTATTTATGTTGAACATTAACTCCAGAAACAGAAATCCCCTAACACAATGATATAATGATCCAAAACCACAAAAAGTAAAACAAAAAACGAATCCAAGTTCAGCGTGCATTCTTCTTTTGTAGTGGATGTTCTGTAATTAAATCTTCCCTCCTTATCTTTTTCTGGGGGGGGATGGCAGGGGAGATGGCTCCATAAATCACAGCACTACAAATAGTTACTGAGCTTCAGTATAATACTTTTCAACAGTAGTTGATCTGAATACTTAACAATAATTGCCATTAGCTTTAAGAACAGAAAGTCTTAAAAATCTTTAAAAACTAACTTGAGCACTGATGGCAAAATGGGGCTCAAAACAGTTTTGAAGAAAAATAAGGTTTCTTAATAATCCTTAGATAAAAAAGTGTAATTTCTGAAATATAATTACTTTTTAGCCTTATCATTTTAGGAATAGGTACAATGAAGATGAATAAATCTTTGCGTGTATTGAGTTGTAAAAGTCAATATATTAAAAATAATTTTGTATTATATTTAGTTGATATTCAAGTTACACTTCACTCCCTACGACAATATATAATGTAATACCTTAGACTTTTCATTGGTTTAACACTAACTAGGAAAAATTTTCTTTTCAAGGTGTTTAACTTGGGTTAGAGTTGACTTATTTGAGTCATTATACTAATTTAAAAATGGAGTTAAAATAGATATGACTAATTCAATAAAAGGAAAAAAAGCATATATTTTTGTATCAGCTACAAATTCATTGTTATCAAATACAAATATGACTTTCTAAAATAGGCTTTGAAAGTAAAGGTAATGCTAATGGAAACAAATTCAGTTTAAGCATCTAGCAGCCAGCTTTTCCTCTTCCTTAGCCTTTTATTAGCCGGATACTAGGAAAACAAATGTTTAAGACATAGCCCTGCTCTTGAGGAATTCATAGTCTTGTGTAGAGACAGATAAGAAATAAGTTGGATGTATTAATATGATCAATGTAAAGTTGATATATGTATGAAAGTATTGGAATTATTTACCTGTTTTTGACTCTTTGCCAAAAATAGTAGAAGGGAAGGAGCAGAGAATAAGTGATAGAACTGCTATATTAAAAACAAACAAACAAAAAAAGATACAAACACAGACACACTGCCGCCACCAGATGGCAAATAACATGGTACTTTGAGGACTTTTTTTTTTTAATTCAGAGATTGCTAACTTTTTCATGATCATTTAGATTAGCACTTTCTCCTGCCATCTGGGATTTTCATTTCTTAGTGTGTAAACTAATTTTATTTTCAAGTTCACTATTATCTCTTATTAATTGTACTGAACACACATAACCCTCATAAATCTTAAACCCTGTGTAGCAGATAGTGTATGCTTTTGCTCCATCTTTGTTTCTTCACTTTTATAATAGAACCAGCTTACATTTGAAGCCCAAAGCCAGCATTTGTTCATTTTGAGGTGTGCTCATTGACAAGTGACGTGACTATTTGGAAGTAATTATTGATTGGGCCCAGAAGAGTGGCTGAAACAGAAATATCCTTCTGATAAACAGTTTATAAAACAATATTATTCTTTTCATAAAATAGTACAAATAATCCCTCTTGGATATTATTACCTTGTCCTAAGAACAGTGGATTCTGGTCTTTTAACATAACTGAGAATGTTAACGTAATTTGATTGTGAGCAGAAGCTATTTGGCTGGAAATACAATATGCATTAAACAGTATTAATATTTGTTAATTTAATTAAACTATAATTGACTATTGAAGAATGTAGGGGTTAGGGACACTGACCACCTCCCACCACAGAGTAAAAATCCACATATAACTTTTGACTCTCCAAAAATTTAGCTGTTCCTCAGTATCCCCTGGGGATTGGTTCCAGGATTCCTGAGGATGCTCTAAGTCCCCCCTGTAAAATGGGATAGCCCTCCACATTTGTGCATTCCCAAATGCTGATAAAAAACAGTATTTATTGAAAAAAGTCTATGTTTAAGTGGACCTGCACAATTCAAACACATGTTGTTTAAGGTTCAACTGCAATATATACAGGAATTAATATTAGGAATTAAATGTAAACTATACACACACACACACACACACACACAGAGTTTTGTTTTTTCTAGAATGAATAACAAAGCATTTGCCTCCCATATAATTTTGCAATGTAGATAATATATATTAATTCCCACTTTTGACCTCATAATTCACATTTCTATTTCTTTAGGCCAGTGAAAAAATTCCTTATTATCAAATTCTTGTGAACAAGTCTAACAGATTTGGGATATCCTTGACCTACATACCTGGGGAGGACAAAACGATTATGGGATATGAGGTACTGCTGTGACTGGCATGGAGCGGAGGTCCCTATGCGGGGGTGACGGGCGATTGAGAAAGACACAACACAGTTTAAGGAGAAGCAGGGGCCAGGGAGAGCATTGTCCTCTGAAGGAGAGACAATGACCCTGAACCTGGTTACTGCGTTTATTTTATAGGGCTGGTTACATAAAACTCAAAGAAGTTTTGCAGACTCAAGGGCAGGCTGCAGGCAAAGATTGTTCCATTCCCTGGCTATCTAAATGATAAAATATTTCTTCTGCAAAAGTTACAGTTGCATTCAGCTGAAGCTTGCGGTTATCTCTCTTCTTCTCAATCCCGCTTCCGGGCTGCTGTCAGCAGCCAGCCTGCTTTGCTTTTTGCAGATGCAAGTGGTCAAGTGTGGCCTTGCCAGCACGTAACCTGGGCTTGACATCAGCCCTCACCATCCTCCACAAGGTACAGCATCTTCAGTTACAAATTATTTTTCCAGATCTTATGTATTTACATCGAACTCAAATTGCCTGTCAAATAACTATACTGATAAAAGGTAATTGCTACTACAAAAAAAAAAAAAAGTAATTTTGCATGTAACTGAATAGAATCCTAAATTTTATCACTAATATTCAGAAACCTTATTTTAATAGTATTTCCTTTTATAAAGGAGCTTTGAATATAGTGGGTCTGTTTCCAATATCCAATTAGAATTTTCTTCTTTCAGAAGAAAACAGCAATTATAATTTGCTGCTTTCTGGAATGATTGTTTAAAAGGAAGTTCAGAAGAAATGAATTTCATTAGGATTAAGTTCAGGACAGGTTTGTTCTAGTAGGCTTTGTGGAACAGGTCCTGTAAGAAATTCACTGTGGGACTCCAGTGTATGCCATGTGTCAGAAATTAAATTGCCTTCAACTGTCCACAAAATCCGATACACCCCTTAGTACATGGGATATCATACAAAAACCACTCCAGTCTTTAAAGAGTTTCTTTTCTTAGCTGCTCTATAGAATTGTACGACTGTCCATTTTACAGAATATTTTTTTAAACATTTAAAAAAAACTCCTGTAAATTATAAAAAGTATTTGATAACTTAAAAAAATACTTGTTTCTTTTCAAGCTAGTTGAATAGCTTCTTTACCAAATGTGATGGAACCAAAAATATAATGAAACCATGGCTAAGAAAAATCTACCTACATAATTAAATTTTTATTGAGTATAAGCAAATTTTTTTCTTGATGTACAGCCCCAATTGGACTTTCTGCTCAACTGGATAAATAAAAGCTAAGATATAACTTAACTTTTAAAAAATCAAAATCCAACATATACTGTTGTGGTTTTTTTTTGGTGACTTTATTTTAAGATTATATTTATTTATTTGAGAGAGGGAGAGGAGGGAAAGAGAGGGAGAGAAACATCAGTGTGTGAAAGATACATCAGTTGCCTCTTGTGTGCCCCCACCTGGCGATCTGGCCTGAAAACCATGCTTGTGCCCTGAGAATCGAACCTGTGATCCTTTCGTTCACAGACCAGCACTCAATCCACCACGCCACACCAGCCAGGGCATATTCTTACCATGACAAAAGTTCATCTTAGCATTAGACTTAGAAAAGCCAGTTTTTAATTGAGCTGACAATAATCAGAGAATGCAGTTGAAATAATGGCTACCATTTACTGAGTGACTGCTATGTACTAGGCATTATTTTCATGGCTTTATATTTATCAACTTTAATCCTATAGTAGTATTACTAGTTTCATATCATTGGTGAGGAAAGAGAAGCTTAAAGGACTGAAGTGCCTTGCCAAGTTTACACAACTGGTAATTTGCTGATTTTCTCAGCAAATATTTGAGAGTTTACTCTGTGTTGGCCCTGACACTGACACTTTCCCGGGTGTAAGAATGAAGCTGTGAACAAGACAAGATCTCCATTCTAAAGGACTACGCTCTGGGAGTAAAGTCAGAATTTGAATATAGTGGTGTCATAATATAAAACTTTCATCTTAGCTTCCACACTCCTTACTGCCAAGGACACTACAGAAGAGATGGATAAAACTGTTCCAGTGCCACTTAAGAAAATGGGATGGAAACTGTATACTGGAAGGTGTTGTAGGAAAGAAATATAGGCACATAATTATCAAGATATATCTACTGTTATTAGATCTTTTAAGCATATTTGGAATGACCTGGGTGTGTGAATCTATTATTTCAACTAAATTATAGAAAATAAATAAAGATCAGGTATTTCTGATGAAAATTTAGCATCTGAATTGAGATATGCTATAATATAGGATATACAATGGATTTTGAAGAATTAGTGTAAAAATGAATTATATTGAATACCTGTTAATTATTTTTAAAATACTGACTATTTGCTGAAACGATAATGTTTTGGATATACTCTGTTAAATAAAATATTAAAATTAGTTTAAACTTATTTTTTTACTTTTTAAAATATGTCTACTAGGAAATTTTATATTACATATATGACTTGCATTATATTTGTAGTGAAGAGTGCAAATATAATCAAAGAAATCCTGATAAAGAGCTTATATATTATTTGGTCCATGTATTATCTTTTATTTCTGGCATCAAAATATTTTCACAATATACTCCCTTAACTTTTTATCAAATTACATTTTGCTCTTCATTCTTTCTATTAATAGTAACAATCATACAAGTAACTGTCAATATTTCTTCCTATAGTAGAAATATAAAAGTTACACATGTACTAGCATAAATTCATTATACAAATGTGCACATGACATATTTATTTCCAAAGAGTATTTCCCACAGTGAGGTTTTAAAAATAGAAAGTAAACGTAAGTATTTGTTGGGACTGTATGCAAGGATTCACAAATTTTGGGCAGAACACTTTATATACTGGGTGTGTGTGTGTGTACACACACACATACATATACATGTATGAATATATATTCAGACAAAAGCAACAGTATAAAGAGTATAAAAATAGACAAAAAGATACAAACACAATATATTTTGTTTGGAATTTTAGAGATGTTTTTTTTTCTTCTCTTTCCCCTTTACTTCAAAAGTTATAAATACTTTTGAAGCAGCATGTATTGTTGCACTTTTGATTTTTTGTTGTACAGTTAAGGAACTTGAGAGTCTGGATGACTGGTGATCATCGATTTGGTCTTCCCACTCTTTCATTTCTTCTTCTTTGATTAATAAAGGTTTTCCTAGAGTTTGGCCCACAAGGTTACACACTTCTTGAGCTTTGCGCCATGCATTCTCAACAGCAACAAGACAGGCTTGCCGTCTTAGGGATTAAATGCAGAGATTATTAATATGGCATTCAATGAACGTAGCAATGAATAGTTTTGTTTAATTAATTGATAGTTTAATTAAAGATGTGTTTAACTTACCGAAGATTCTCAACAGAACCTGGAGTGTGATAGAACAGGGGTTGGCTGATGACAACAGAGCTATCTAGCTTTTCAACAAGAAAGTTACAAATATTTTGCATTTTTCCAAATTCAGTAAATGTAATGCAGACCTGTAAATGAAATGACACTTGAAATTATTTTCATGCCTGATACATTATTTCAAACTTTTCTCTAAATGTGAGTTAAAAAAAAGTAAAAGCCATATTACAGTGAGATCATTTTATAGGATGTAACTATACTAACATGAAAAGCCTATCTGGTACTTTAAATTATTTTGTTATTAAATTTTTTTGCTTATGAGTTTTATAATTTATTTAATATTAACTTGAATATTTTAAAATACATTTTAAACCAGTTGGGGACTTTTTTATGAAAGAGAATTGGAGGTTTTCCCTTTCAACTTTACTACTTGGCTGAATTCTGATAAATTTTTCATGACACCTTAGTCAAATCTATGCTGTTAGCTTCCCAATTAGCAGTATTTACACCATATTTCTCTGCTGTTAATGATATGTTTCTTCTTCCAGTAGTTATTTTCAGAGAGAGATATATATATATGGAAATGCATCTATTTCATTATGTCCTCTGTCTTTAAAAATGTAGGGGCAGTCCTTATGCAATACTTTAAAACTGTGGTCTTAAAAAACTTTTTATGGATGTAGACTAAACATTTCTTCTAAGGAAACTACACAAACTCAATATGTAAAATGAAAAAGTACAGGCACTGGAGGGTAGGCTGGAGTAACAAAAGATCTTGAAAGAGATGGGTAAGGTGACCTTCCGAGTCACCTCATGCAATGCAGAATAGTTGCCTTTAATCATAAATGTTATCCAGTGAAGACCCATGTTCCATCTGGTTTCAATACTAAGTGAATACTGTATTTTATAATTATTTTTTCTTCTATTTTTAAAAAAAGCTGACTGGGATTTTGACTGGGATTGCTATGACTCTATATATGGTATATCAATTAAGGAAGAACTGATATCTTGATGATATTGAGACTTCCAAATCACGAACAAGGTATGTTTCTCCATTTATTTACATCTTTTTAAATTTCTCTTAGCAGTGATTTGCAGTTTCCAGCATACAGCTCTTTCCCTTTTTTTTTTTAATCCTCACCTGAAGATATATTAATTTATTTTTTTTAGAGAGAGAGGAAGGGGAGGAGAGAGAAAGAGCGAGATCAAGAGAGAGAGATCAAGGTGAGAGAAACACATCAATTGCTTGCCTCTTGTACATGGCCCAATGGGGGACCAAACTCACAACCGAGGTATGTGCCCTGACTGGGAATCAAACCTGTAATCTTTTGGTGTACAGGACAGCAATCCAACCAACTGAGCCACCCTGCCAGGGCTCACATTTTTAAAAATCACATTAATCCCTAGGTATTTTATATTTTTTCTGTTTATCAATTCTAACAGGTTTTTTTGGTTTTTAAGTTCCATCAGATTTTCTGCACAGATGATCATGTTGCCTATGAATAAAGACAATTTTACTTCTCATTTTCCAGTCTGAGCGCCCTTTATTTTTTTCTTGCCTGACCGCATTAGCTAGAAAACTTCAAGTACAATGTTGAAAAAAAAGTCATGAGAGTAGCTATGTTTGTCTTGTTCCTGATCTTAGGCACAATGCAGTCAGTGTTTGTTTCACCATTAAACATGTTAGTAGATTTTTCACAGATTCCCTTCATCAGTTTGAGGAAGTTCCCTATGATTCCCAGTTTGCTGAGAGTTTTTATTGGGAATAGATGTTGGGTTTTTGTTAAATGCTCTTTCTGCATTTATTGAGATAAACATATGGTGTTTCTTTTTTATTGTATTAATGTGGTAAATTAGATTGGCCAATTTTTGAATGTTAAACCAACCTTTCATTCTTGGAATGAACCATACTTGGTTATTCTTTTTTATATATCACTGGATTTCATTTGCTAAAATTTTGTTTATAAGTTTTGCACATGTTTGCAATGGATATTATCTATAGTTTGTTTGGTTTTTTTTTGCTTGTGATATTTGTTTGTTTTTTACTCCCTGGTTCTGTTATCATCTAGCCCCAAATTATGCATTGGGAAGTATTTCCTCCTTTTCATTTTCTGGAAAAGTTTGTGTACAGTTGACATTATTTCTCCCGTGCATTTATAAACTTTCTAATTTCTCTTTTGACCATGGCTTATTGAGAAGTATATTTTTAAATTACAAATATTTAAGGGATTTTCCTGAGATTTGTTATTGCATTTCAAATGTAATTATGGTCAGAGAACGTACTTCGTATGATTCAGGTACTTTTAAATTTATCAAGACTTGTTTTATGATCCAGAATATAGTCTACCTTGGCAAATGTTCCATGTGTGCTTGAAAGGAATGTGTAGCCTGCTGTTGGAAATGAGTGTCAAGAAAGTCAAACTGGTTGGTAGTGTTATTTACATCTCTTACAGTCATATTGATTTGCTGTTTCATTTCATTATTAAGAAAAGAGTACTGAAAGCTCCAACAAAAACTGCAGAGTTTTATTTATTTTCAGTTCTATCATTTTTACCTTTCATATTCTGAAGCTTTGATATTAGACATATATGTGTTTAGAATTATGTTCTCTTGATTGGCCTCATTTACCACTATGAAATCATTATCTTTATCTATGGTAATGTTCTTTGTTTTGAATTCTACTTGTATGATATTATCATAGTCACTCCAGCTTTCCTTTGATTCATATTAGCATGGTATGCCTATCCATCTCATTTTTTAAAGTGAGGTTTATTAAGGTATAACTTAAAATACATACTTCTTAGTATGTCTAATGCATTTTGACAGATACATTAAGTCATATAGTCACCATTATTAAGAGTCCTGTCAATCTTCTCCAATTCCATTGTGCTCTTCCCATCCCAGCCCCTGGAAACTACTAATCTGTTTGTTTTTTAAACTTTATTTTTTAGAGCAGTTCCATATAGTTCCTGCTACCACAGATGCTTAGCCCCCTACCCTAATCAATATTCTTCACTAGAGTGAAACATGTGTTACAGCATATGAAACTACTTTGACACATCATAATGACCCTAGTTCCATAGTTTACATTAGGGTTTACTCATGGTGTTTTATTTTCAGTATGTTTGGACATATGTGTAGTGACATCTATCTAACATTATAGTATCATACAAAGCATTTTCACTGCCCTAAAATTCCCCTGTCCTCTCCCCATTCATGCTGTCCTCCCCCTAACCTCTGGTAACCAATGTTTTTCCCAGAACATTATACAGTTAGAATAAAACAGTATGTAGCCTTTTCAGATTTTGTCTTTAACTTAGTAATAGGCATTTTTGGTTTCTCCTTGTTTTCATGGCTTGATAGCTGGTTTCTATTTGGTACTAAGTAATATTCCATTTTCTGGATGTACACAGTTTATTTATCCACCCACTGAGGGACATCGTGGTTGCTTCCAAAGTTTGACTGTTATGAATATAGCTGCTGTAAAGATAAGTGTGCAGGTTTAAACTCCTTTTGAGTAAATACCAAGAACTGTTACTGCTGGGTCAGCTAGTAGGAGTATGTTTAGTTTTATAAGGACAGTGGTTTTCCAAAGTGGCCATACCATTTTGCATTCCCACAAGAAATGAAGGATTTCTGTTGTTTCACACCCTTGTAAACATTTGTTGTTGTCAGCATTCCAGATTTTAGCCACTCTAATAGGTGTGTAGTGGCATTTCATTGTTTTAATTTGCAATTGCCTAATAACATGATGCAGAACATCTTTTCATATGCTTACTTGCCATCTCTACATCTTTGTGAGGTGTCTGTTAAGGACTTTGGCTCATTTTTATATTGGGTTGTTTATATTCTTATTGTTGAGTTTTAAGAATTCTTTATATATTTTGGATAACAGTCCTTTTAAAATAAGTGTGTTTTGCAACTATTTTTCTCCTGACTGGCTTATCATTCTCTTCACGTTGTCTTTCACAAAGCAGAAGTTTTTAATTATGATAGAAACCTGGCTTATCAATTATTTCTTTCATGAATCACTCCTTTGGTGCTGTATCTAAAAAGTCATTGTGATATTCAGTCATCTGGGCTTACTCCTATGTTATCTTCTAGGAGTTTTATAGTTTTGCATTTTAGCATTAGCTCTATGATACATTTTGAGTTAACTTATTTTTATTTTTTATTTTTAGAGAAAGGGAAAGAGAGGGAGAAAGAGAGGGAGAGAAACATTGATGTGCAGGAGAAGAACATCAATTGGTTGCCTCTCACATGGCCTGAACAGGGGACCTGGCCCACAACTCAGGCATGTGCCTCAACCATGAAATGAACTAGCAACCTTTCACTTTGCAGGATGGTGCCCCACCAACTGAGCCATGCTGGCCAGGGCTTGAGTTAATTTTATGAAGGAAATAAGGTCTGTATCTAGATTCATTTTTTTTTGATATGTAGATGTCCAGTTGTTCCTGCACCAATTACTGAAAAGACTATCTGCCCCATTACACTGTGCTTCTTCCTTTCTCAAAGATCAGTTGATTTGTATGGGAGTCTATTTCTTGGAATTTTGTTCTGTTCCATTGATCTATTTGTCAGTTCTTCAAACAGCACTACCTTATCTTGATTTTGTAGCTTCATATTAAGTCTTGAAAGTCAGGTAGTGCCAATCTTCCCATTTTTTTCTTCTCCTTCAATACTGTGTTGGCTATTTTGGGTCTTTTGCCTTTCCATATAAATTTGAAACATCTTTTCCATATCTCCAAAATAAATAAAATTCCATATCTGGAATTTTAATTGGGATTACATTGACTCAATAGATCTAGTTGGGAAAAACTAACACCTTGACTATATTAAATATGAAATGAGTATCTATGACTATGAATCCTATCCTATCCATGAATATGAAATATATATCCCTTTGTGTAGTTTTTCTTTGATTAAGTTCATTAGAGTTTTATTAGTTTCCTCATATAGATCTTATACATATGTTGCTAGATTTATACCTGTCATGTTTTTGGGTGCTATGGAAAATTGTGTTCTTAACTTCAAATTCTACTTGTTCATTGCAAGTATACAAGAAATAATATTTTGTTGAGGATTTTTGCCTCTGTGTTCATGAGAGGTATTGGTCTGTATTTTTCTTATC